AAGTGCATTAGACAGAAGAAATAAATCAAGAGAATGTGTTGAGAATGGCTGAGCTCAGAATAGCTCGGCTTGTCTAACTTAAGGACATATTAAATATGGAAGCAGTTTAGTCAGTAGAAAGCCTCTAGTTTCAAACAGGAAAATTCAACTAGGAAGTGGACAGAGTACTAAATTGCAACTATAAGTATTTGATATTTGCTGTTAAGTTTTGAGGCTGTTAATTTTCTTCTCTGAAATTTGATCTTTTCATCAGTAAAATATCTCAAGTTATTTCATTATCTCATTTATTTCATAAGTGCTTAATAAATGTTCTATCGGGTATACAAAAAAAAAAAAAAAAAAGAAAGAAAAATGCTTATAGTATAGGAAGGAAAACAAATAGGCAAACAGACAATTACAACTTGGTATAATAAGGTTAAGGTCAGAGACAGGTTCAAAGAACTTTGGGGCCCAAAGGAGAAAAGTAACTTTCTGAAGGTTTGAATAAAGTTTCACATAGGAGGTAACATGAATAAACCCATGGAAAAAAAAATCAGATAATCTGAGTGAGGAATGGATATGGGGAGAAGGTTAAGATTGTGTGGTTGGAAATGATGATTCCATTTTGTGTAGTAAACCAAACGTATTGTGGTGAGGGAGGGCAGAAGAGGTCACTCAGGGGTTTATGAAGTATCTTAGATACCAAGTTAATTAAAGTAGTTGGCATCAGATTCCAATGGCTCAGTGGTTCTCACTGTTATTTCATAATGTCTAACATACTCCCATGGACAAATTTATAAAATAGACCATAGGTTGTTTGCAGTTAATAGCTCTCTAGTTTTTCTCCCAGTTAAGGAATCCTAATATATAAAAATCCCTGGGTCCTAACTACCAGTAACAACCGGAGGCTGACCAACCGTAAGTCAGTGATGGCCCCGCCTACAAGCAAGTAAGGGGCAATCAGGCAAGTAGGCAGAGGGGTTAGGGGTGATCTGGTAGGCAGACAGCTCCTAGCTAGGTTGGCCCCGCCCCCAAGCAAGTGGATAGGGGCGATCAAGTAGAAAGACCAGTGGTTAGTGGTGATCAGGTAAGCAGACAGCCCCTCGCAGAGAAAGAGGGAGGCCCAGGCCAGACAAGCTATTGCAACCCAGCCTATCACCTCAGAGGGAGGCCTCCAGTGTCAGGGAAGTGGGGGGGGGGAGACAGTGCTGCACAGATGGCAAGCAGTGGCATTGGCAGGGGTGGGGCCAGCTGCCTGCAGCCAGGAGAAGGAAAACCCTGATAGGCCCTGATTTCAGGCCAGGCTTAGGGACTCCACCCAAGGGGTCCCAGATTGTGAGAGGGTGCAGTCTGGGCTGAGCCCCCCCCCCCCCCCCTAAATGCACGAATTTTCATGCACTGGAAATTCTGGTAAATGAAAAGAATGTAACTGTGACAACTTAGAATCTCTTTTCTTTTTTAAATCATTCCCCAGATCACTACTCTCAAATTCATTACAAACAAGTTAATCTTAGTACATCTCCTAACTAATTACACAGACCTCTGTGAACACACAGCTGTGTGGAAGGTGGAATTGTCAGGAGGACTGAGGAAGAAATGGTAAGATCTAGCACTCAGAACAGAGCAGGGAGGAAGGAGAGGGCAGAATGAAATGATCTCCTCTTCTAATAGGAGGTAAAGTAAAAAATATATAAGAAAAAATGTAAAGAAACATCAGAACATTACTGAACTCTAACCAGAACCTCTTATAAATATAATATGGAACAAAGAGGCAGAGGCACCCCAAAGAGGAGCTCTGTGCATAGGTAGAGTTTAAGAAGCTTCCTGAAGCTTGAACCGATGATACAGGAGTTAAGTTCTGGTTTCTTAAAGAGCTACTGCTCTTCCTGATGTCCTGGGGAAGGTTGATTTCTGAGTAGATGAGGGGCTGGAATTAATGGACTCCAGCTTCTTTTGGAGGGTGGGCCTCCTGCCAGGCTGATTAGCCAGCTGGCCTGTCCACTGTTCCTGTTTTATTGCTTCCTTTCTCATTAAGGAAGGTGTTGGGTTTGGATAACCATAAACAACATGTCTGCTGCTACAAGGCTACCATCTCTTGCAGTCAGTGGCTGAGACCAGGCTCTCAGGAGTCATTTTTTAAAAAAAATACTTAGGTCACAGTTTTTGAGAAACAGGAAAAAGGAAGTCCAGGTTTGAAACTATGCCACGTAAATGGTTATTTTTCTATTTTTACTGTATTTCCTTAAAAAAAAAATTTCAAAGTGGTAGAGAAAATAAAACTTTTAAAAAATTGGTGCTGTTTTCCATAACCTCTTCTCTCTCACTCACTTCCTCCAGTATAGCCACACAAATAGTCCTGAGGCCTTCAAGACGGAAATATGAGGGAAGAGAACTGGGTTTCCCTTCACCCTGCCCCCAGACACGCCCAAGGATTCTGATCAGCCTCTAGTCACTTGTGAGCTTTTCTGTGGGTGCCTCAAAACTCCCTTGTCTACATGGGCCCAATGGCTGAAGTCTATTTAGAACTGAGCTTCTGAAAGGGAGCGAACCATTTCACTCTCTCTACCTTCGCATCAGTAATCTCAACATTTGTACTTCCCCCTCCCCGGTCAGTGTATTTCTTAAAATAACCTTCATTGGCACATCATTTCTCACCAGGAACATACTATTGTTTATTCCAGTACTGCAATTTTCTCTCTTCCAGCACAGGGAGAAACATATTTACACAGAAAACCGCAGTGTTGAACTAGAGCCCTCTGTTTCTTAGAGTTTCACTTTCTAAGGGAATTTTGCAGGTGGTTCCATCTGGTTTTCCTGGTTTGGTTTCGTTCCTACTCTGCCCTTACCGATTTCCTCCCTAGTCCCAACCAGCACACAGCCTCAGTACCTCCCTACCACCTCACCACGATGGTCTCCTCAGCTCATGATAGTCATACAGTTCAGCAAGCTTCTCACCATGTTCCAAACAGGAAATGCTCAGAAAATCCTTGTTGATCTGTACCAACTACTCCCAAAACCTTTAATATGAGTATTAATATTTTCAAGGAATCTCTTTTCCACAGAACATTTCATGTAATTTGTTTAGATTTTGTATCCAACTTCTACTTCACTGTGTGTGTTCTTGTTCATGTGGCCTCTCTAGAAAAAGATAGGAATTGCTTCTGTGTTGAGAGTGGATAAATGAATTACTCTGAACGGGAATTATGTTAATGTATTATAAATGACCCCTGTGCACTTTTAATTTTAAACCGGCCTTTCTCTGCTACTTAGCATACATCTGGCCCATTATCACGACGACAAGCAATATGTCCAAAAGAAAAGTAACCAGCTCTAATGTTAGATTAATCCAAACATAATCATCTGTACTTTGGACAAGAAGAGTGATTTAGATAATTTTGACTTATGCTTTCAGAGCTTACCATATACCAGACACTTTTCCAAATGCTTTATAATTATTAGGTAATTTAAATATAAAAAAGGCACATATACCACTTCATTGGGATATAATTCACATACTATAAGAGTCACCTTTTAAAAGTGTGTAATTCAGTGACTTTTAATATATTCATAGAATTGAATAACCATCACCACTGTTTAATTTTAGAATATGTTCATCAACCCCCAAAGAAACCCCATACCTATTTGTAGTCACTTCCCATCCCCTCTCCTTTCCTCCCTCTCCTTTTCCAACCCTAAAAACCCACTCATTTGCTTTCTGTCTTTATGGTTTTGCCTATTCTGGGTATTTCATATAAGTGGAATCATATAATATGTGGCCTTTTGTGTCTGGATTCTTTCAGTTTAATGATTTCAAGGTTCATCATACTGTAGTATTTACCTTTTTGTTTTGTGTTGTTTAACCAAACCCCTTTTCTTTAATTGTCTCATTTCAATATCTGTCTTTGAGCAAAAATTAAATCCTGAATATCCTAGAAGTCAAAGACAAAAAGAAAAACGCCCTTATTTGACTCAGTTTTAGTCACAAAAGAAGTACAAAGTTTATCAACAGCACAGGTATTTTGAAGGGGAATCATTGGTGTAGTCCTTCAGTGTCACAATATGGCTCTGTCTTTTGATCATTTCAGGTGTTTTCCTGGCTTTCTTAGTTATAAAGTGTTGCCCTGGCTACTTGGGTTCAGCACTTAGAGTCATTTGAGAAGGGGGAGAGACCTGTCGTGACATCCTCAATAACTCTTCTCCTTTTGAGTGCACAGGGGATTCTTATTTAATCTTTTACCAGCATTCCAATTTGATCTCCACTATTAATTCCCAGGTTTTTCTTCCTTTTTTTTATTACTATCTTACTTTCACCTGAAATTTTTAAGTATTTTTACAATTTTATTACTTAAAGGATCAAGCATTTTGCCATCGCTGATTTGAAAAATAGGCCTCAAATAATATAAATTATCTAGTAATTATTGTTTTTGTTGGGGTTATGGAAAGGCAGGAAACTGTACCCAGGAAGAGATTTTTAAAAAAGAAATCTCTTTGCTGATGTCTGCCCATGAGTTTGGAAAGAGGAAAGTTCTGACATACATGGGACTCTCTCTCTCTCTCTTTCTCTCTCTCTTAAATTAATTTAATTCTTTGCATATATATATATATATATATATATATATATATTCCTGAATTATAGAAAACTATTATCAACAATTCATGCAAAGACCTGCTTTAATTTTTACCTTCATCTCTAATCCAAGCACATAAGGAAGTCATGCATTTGAGGGAGGTACATGTGACCACTCCCTCAAATGCATGACTTCCTTATGTGCTTGATATATGTCTTTAAGAAACATATATATTTATATACTGCTTAGTGTTATTGGGTGTGAATGGGTAATTATATAAATAATATTGGTCCATAAATATAATTTTGTTGATTTTTTTAAACTTACATCAAAATAAAGAAAGCACAGGTTATTACCACCTGGAAGTAAGGGATTGCAGGAACTTCCTTAAGGGATGTGTATTTCTTCTTATTGGGGAACCTTTTAATATCTCCTTCTTTGTTGTGTGAACAGGTGGTTAATACATACACTCCAGGAAAGAAGATTTGGCTTGAAGGTGTGGTAACTACCTCAGCTGGAGGCACAAACAACTTATCAGATTCCTATGCTGCAGGATTCTTGTGAGTAACACTTTCAATTTCACTCCCAGGGACTTTGAGGAAAGAAGGATAGCAAGACTGCTATAGTTCTTCAGTATTCTTCCTTTGAGAGGGAGAGTTCATGTTGAAAATTCTTCATCCATTTATTTGTGAATATGTTTAGCCATTCAATAAAACAAGATTAGAGTCTTCTCTAGATATGAAAATGCCAGGCACAGGCATCAGAACAAGATAGTAGCAGCAGTAGTCATAAAAGTAATAAAAAATTTATTTAATGTCTCCAGTAGAAAACATAGTGCTGACATTTTCTCATCTAATTTTTACCATCGTTCTGGAAGATGGGTAAAAGTAACACAGGGTTTTTGCCCTCCAGGATCTTAACATTGGAGGAAGGGAGACAAGATAAGTAAAGTCATAAAGATAAGTGCCATAACGATAATAATTTTAACTCTGTCGTGCTTACTGTGTGCCAAGCACTGTCTAAAATGCTTTATATATGGTTAATAATTTAACAGCCAGTGAAGTAGGAACTATTACTTTATAATAAAAGCCTAATATGTAAATCGAAAGAATGGCAGAAGGACCAGCGGAAAGACTGGTCGCTATGATGCATACTGACCACCAGGGGACAGATACTCAACACAGGAGCTGCCCCCAGCCCACGGCCCCAGGCCAGCCAAGGCTGGTGCCAGCAAGGCAACCCCCCTCCCCGATCTCCCCACTGGTCACCCTGCAGATTGGCACTAATCACGAGCCAGGCCTAGGGAACCTACCGGCATGAATTTTATGCACCAGGCCACTAGTTACTTTATAACAACCCAGTGAGATAAATACTATTATTAGTAGCAGAGATTGGACTCATACCCATGCAACATATGTGACCACCTACATCAGTTCTCCTTTCCCGGAGTCTGTCTATAAAAGAAAGTGATAGACATGCAAAGGAATCAAGGATTTCTCTGACTGGGAGGATCAGGAAGGGCTTAATGGGAAAAGTAGCAATTGAATGCGACAAAGAGAGATTACTTTAATTTCTGTTGGTGGAGAATGGTGGTGACAGAATGGGGAGCATTCTCAGCTGAAGGAACAGGGGATGGGAAATGTGTGTGACAAAAGCCTTGGCATCTGAGGGAATGTAGGAAGGCTGAGACTAAGGAGGGAGTTTACCATCAAACCATGAAATGCCTTGAAGATCAGGCAGATTAAATAAAGCCTGTTCCATATTCAGTGGCAAGCCAGTGAAGGTTTTGGAGAAGAGAGACATCATCTGACCTATGTTTTAAAACATTGGCTTTGGCAATAGTACACTCAAAGTCTGAAGAGGCAAGGGATGGGAAAATGAACTTGAAGGTTATTGAAATTTTCTGGAGAACAGTTTAAGCCAGAAGAATAAAAGCCTTTGACTGGCCTGCCAGGGTTACATAGCAAGGACAAACCCTGTAAGCCCTGGACCAGGGTAAGAAGCCAGACCAGCAGTCAGTGCTACAGGGACCGCTCGGCATCAGCAGTGGACTAGCTTTTGCTCGGCTATTGCAAAAGAACTCTGCCGCAGAGCCCAGCAAACAGCCCCAGTGCACTGAGTGTTTTCATGAGCATTCTTCTCTTTAGGAGATGATGTAAAATGAAAAGTACCACAGACCTTCATGGAGAGAGCTGGAGAGAGACCTATCTTTTTATTAGCATCAGCCAATTATCTGTATATATATCTGCGTTTTGCAGAACACAGATAAACATGGTTATTTAGATTCTAGTCGTATTTCAGACAGCCATTGCTTAGTTGGCACAGACATATGAGAACTAGCTCATTCTGCTCCTGATCTTCCTTCTTGCCTCTTTATCACACATTTGCTCACAGCTCCATGGCAGCTATCCAGCATTGTGCCCTTTGATTTCAGTTCTCTTCAAGGGGCATAAATTGCTTCCTAGAAAGAAAGAAAAAAAGAAAGCATTATAGGAAGTTCCAGAAAGTTAGCAGGAAATAGGAAAAAAAGGCATTTTAATCCTTTTTTTCAATATATGATATAACTGTGAGCTCACATACCCATGCAATCATGAATCAGAATTCTTCACTGTCAAGTATTCAAGGGTACTTTTCCCATCAGGGCTTTGAGATTATTTGTTGCACTACAATATACCCTTGGCATACTACTGTGTCTCCAGTTTCTAGTAGTGTCTGGTACATATTAGATATTTAATACACTTATGTGGTGTGGGGGGCTGTTTCTCTGTTTTCCATGTCCATCACGGAAAACAACGGGTCCCTGAATGGAAGAGCTGGTGATTAAGAAATTAGAGAAAGGAAGAGACAAGAGGCAGAAATAAATTCATCAAGATGGGTGGTAGGTGGGCGCCATCTCTCTGATGGAGAGGCAGCAAGGCGACCCTCCAAGCCAGGCAAGTTTATTTATAGGGTCAGAGGAGCTTATTTGCATTCTTAAGTAGGCCCTAGCATTACTGGATTTACATATCTAGACCCGCCCCTGATGACATCTGGACAAAGGTACTCTGTCAGTGCCTCAGACTCAGCTAACAATTTAAAGAATGTCCATGTGCCTTCTCAGGCGGCCCTCTACAATGTGGAATAAAAAATTCTGGAGTAGCATCTTTGGTGAAATATTTCAGTCAGCTTACCACCTTTCTCTATTTGAGCATAAAAGGGAGACTTAGAACATCATGTATCTCTTCCTATCGGGGCTTATTATTACTGGAAGAAGATGAAGATAACTTCAGTACTAACCATCCACTCTGAAAAGCCAGGGAAAAGCAGGAGTTCTGGCCATAGTCCATTTTGAATCCTGTGGGGATGTGCATATTGGATGTGGGTTTAGAGAAGAAGATGCATATTCTTCCCTTTTGTGTTACACTTTCTTCAAAACCTCCCCCTATACTAGCAAAAAATCAGACTTACTAGTTAATATTTATCTGTAGAGGTCACAAGTTGGAATTTGATACTGTCACTGTAAATGTGTAGGTATAGGTATTTATATACCCAGTGCTTTACAAATGACTTACGTAGTCATGGTACTTTTTAAATCTATCCTCAATGCTGAAAATAAGGCCTGGGATTTACAACTGATTAATTAATGTCCTTGAATGAATAATGAATGAACAAGTAGGAACTTTTCACATATAAAAATACCAAAATATGGTCTTGTGTTGAAATCCAGATGCTGGTAGATATAGGGGCTCACATATACATGGTGACATTTTACTCATCACTCTGTTTCTTCATTCACTCAACAAGGACAGGGCTGTAAAGGAGAATAACACACATGTGTTATTATAGATAAATACTTGTTAGATGTAGGTCCTATTGTATTTGTTCTATTTTCACATTGAAAGAACACTGAGTTAGGAGGCATCCACCCAGAATTCATGTTATAGTTCTACTATAAGATATTTAGTACTGTGTCTCAAAGGAAAAGCCAAAGCTGTTATCCTGATTTCATATTATTAATAAAAATAATAAAGACAAGTAGCTTAGGCATGATATTCCAAAATAATTTTTAATTCCCTGGGTTACAATGCCCCAATTAAAACAACAACAAAAAAGGTTCTATTATATTATTGTTAAATTTTCTTATATATTTAAAACTTTTGTTTTTGTGTTTTGCTTTGTATTTGTAATTCTAATTATCAGTAAATATTTGTTAGTTTTTATGAGAATAACATATAATTGTCAATGTGAAAATTTATTAAAAATATCAATGATATTCATTCATAATATAAAATTTAGCAATGCTCTTCATTTCATTAAGGGAAAACTTCCATTCTATAAGTCACTGGTTTGAAGATCCATATGGTTTCAGATTTGGGAAATCACAACTATGCATAATATGTCTCTAGTATGCTGAATGATGATGTTTAAAGTTCCTAAAATCTAATTTGATCCAGAACATTTTCAACACAATAAAACTACACTGTACTAGGAACAGTGATGGGTGTTTTGGATATAAAGCTAAAATGTATGTATGTTTTGATGAGTTTATAACTAACTGGGAGACAGCAGAGTAGTGAGCAAGTGTTTGTCATTTAATGGGCTGGCAAAGGCTATGAATAAGAGTACAGAGGAGAAAGGTACTACCTTTGGCAGCAGAAGTTAAAAGGAGGTGACACTTGACTAGAAAATTAACAGGTGGAAGGAAATTTGCCAGAGGAGATGGGTTAGAGGAAGAGAGGAAGGGAATACTGAGCAGAAGTTGAAACATGTATAAAGACTCAGGTAAGCATTGAAAGCATTGTGTATTTGGGCAGCCACGGCAGTTTTATGTAGCTTAGAGTCTGGGACATGGGGGTTATGGTGAGAGAAAAGGAAAGAGGTGACAGATGAAGCTAGACACATATGCTGAGAAAATATTATGAAATGCCTCAATATTATACTGAGAAGACTGAAGCTCTCAGTCATATTTATTACATTTATATTATTACAATTAGAAGTTTCCCTAAGTTGCAGAAGTAGAAAGAGAAAGAGAAAAGAATGAACTGAATTTGTTAATAATGAATGCAGAGTTAGCATGGATGTTGGAAGAACCTAGAGCACAGTGTTTTTTGAAGGAAAACATGCTCTGGAAAGTGGGTGTTTGGCATAGAGAGGTATGCAGTAAGTGTTTGAGCAATGCAGGTCCTTCACTGTGATATGTGTGTGATGGTAGCATATTTGAATCTCTGTATAAGTTATAGTGTGAATACAATTATTATTGCATAGACTGCTGATGGTAATATGAGGGATACAAATGACTGTCCCACTCTTGCATAGATCATACAAGTATTTGAATTAGAGACACATGAAAAACACATGCAGTCATAAGGTGAAAGCAGGAGAGTTCAAGTGATGAAAAGTATAGTGTGTGTCTCCTGTGATTGTGTATCCTGTGGCCAGAGGGTAATAATGATGTTTATAAGTGCCTAGGGTATTCATTTAAATATTGAATATTACAGGAATAAAAGATAAGTCATTAGCAATGAGCTATTTATAACCAAGGGCAATTCATTATACTCTCCTGTATCTCTGTTTCTTTTCCTATAAAGTGAAAGGTAAACTTTGATAATCTCTAAAATCTCTTCCAGCTGGGTAGTCAATGCTTAAAATAATCTTCTCCTTTAAAACATGAGGTAAATTTGGTGGTGAGTGTGGTTAGTGTATATATGTGTGTGTTAGCCAGACTCTGTAGAGTTTGTTATATGCTATTTAAAAATGTATTGATATAGCTTTTCCCTCCTGCTTTTTAGATGGTTGAACACTTTAGGAATGCTGGCCAATCAGGGCATTGATGTTGTGATACGGCACTCATTTTTTGACCATGGATACAATCACCTCGTGGACCAGAATTTTAACCCATTACCAGTAAGTGTGAGATAAAGATTCCCAGCTCCTTCTCCATGTCATTCAGTTTTTTTAATCATGCCTTGTTCCACTCGGGGAGATTTTTTCTTCTGTTACCAGTTAATCTCATGAATTGGACAGAAGCATTCTTGACCCATTTCACAGACTTTTGGCTTCACCCCCAATCATCCACTCCTCTACATGTGCATGTATGTATAGGCACACATGCACACACACACACATTTATATATAACATGTTTATACATGTATTTACTACTATAATTTTAAGAAATCTTGTGCAGTTGAGATTCCACATCTACTTGTGGCCTGTTTGAACTCTGCTTGAGAGTCAATTTTTCCAGATTGTTTTCTTTAATGCTAATAGGAGACATTAGTTAATGTCAGATACAACATGTTGAAGGCAGATGGGAGCGTGCTGGCCAAAATCAGATACAGTAGGAGCCCATCCCTTGGAGAGTGGCTGAATGAAGTGCACTTACAGTTAGATGTTGATTCCTATGTGACAGTGAGGGGGGTTTTCCAGAGCACCAACTTCTCTAGCAAAGCAAAAGAAATGGAAAGAAAGCTAAGGAAGAATGGCAAAAGCAGGGATTTGGGTCAAAGAAATCCCACTTAGTCCAGAAAAGTTGTGCTTACCAGAAATATTACCTGGGCCATCCTTTTGACATTGTCTTGGTTATGATGCAAGGTCAGATTCCTCTTATTAACCCATAGAATGTCAGAGCTGGATCCCCCTTCTAGATGATCTAGTTCCACCTCATATAACAGAGGGATTGATAACCTGGGGTGGGGATAAGGGTAGGAAGTGCCAGCTCTAGGATCTGTCTTTGTTCCCTGGTCCAGTGCTCTTTCTACAGAATTTCTGCTCCCCCAAGGTCCACAGTAAACAAATCCAGTGGAACCCTTGAATGTTCCTGCCATTTGCTTCCCTCTGCTTAAGTCCAAGCCTGAGCCAAGAGGCGTCCAAACCTCGAACAGCAAACAGCTTGGCCTCCAACAGCACCATTTCCATGTCTCAAAACAATCCCTCTAGTCAGAGTTCTGAACATTTATTGCATCACTTATTGCACATCACTCCCAATTCAATCACAATACTGGCACAGTTGCTTTTATTCACAGAGCCACAAAGCCTCTCCCAGAGTGGGGGCGAGGCAGGAAGGAGGCGGCGCTAGGTAAGGAGGAGTGGAGAGGGAAATTTTAGTTTGGAACCATAGGGTTTTGTGCTTGCTTTGAGTTCATAAACTTATAGAGAGAAACAAAATAATAATTATAAAGTATACTAAACCAATATAATGTCATACGAAAATACTTACTGATCATCAGATAGTGAGAAGGAGACTAATAACAGGTAAGTGAATATATAAACAATAGTATGTTATAACAAGAAGTCATGGAGAATCCTTGAAAGTGTGTAGAAGAAAGCCTTCTCTGAGAAGGTGACATTGAATCTAAGAGCCCAGTGAAAAGAAGGAGTCAGCCATACAGATTTTGCAGAAGAGCTTTCAGGAAGAGGAAGAGCTAGCATGAAGTCCTCACAGCAGACATGTTTGGAGAAACAGAAGAATAGCTGAGTGACCGGGCCTGGCTGGGAAGGGAGACTGGACGGACATGAAGCCCTACTGGAGTCAGATCACATGAGCTTTTTAAGCTAATAGGAGTTTGAATTTTCCTGTAAGCAGTATGAAAAGTCATAGGACGGTTTTATGGAGGGAAGTAACATTTTTAAAAATCACCTTTGTGTAATTAATGCATCAAGTGTGAGTTATAATTTCTTTAATATTGTGGACAATATTTAATTTTTATACCACTTTCATATGCATACATCAACAATGCTCTGAACACTGTCTTCTCTTCCTTTTGTTCTTCCTTTTTTCTTTCTTTCCTTCTGGTTTTATTCCTTCCTTCATTCATTCAAATCTTACTTACTCTTCTTGATCATGTGCAATGGGGCCATTGTGATGAATCAAAGAGAAAAGGAACTCTTGGAGCTTATAATCTAATGAGGCATACTGAGAAATGGAAAATAAATAAACATGCAAACAAAAGAATTGCACTTGGCCTAATTACTCTGCAGAGAGTCTGATAGTATGACTACTTACACTTATTTTGCTGAAGAAAAACGAAGATTATGAAGTGACTGATCCAAGATCAGGCAAGTAGTAAGAACTGGAATTCTTAAGAGTTTCTCAACTCCAAATCCTATTTTCTTTTCACCGTGCTGCACTGTTTCTTGCAGTACTCTCTATTGTATCTGTGTGCTATGGTCTAAGACCAATGTTTGCCTCAGAATTGGGTCCAGAGAAAGAAATAGGCATTTTAAGGAATTGAAGATAAGAAAACCTAGACTAGAAAAAGATGCAATTTGCGTAACTATACAGGCTTGATTTCTAGAACTGGACAATCCTGAGTTCCAAAGCATGGCTATGTGTAGGTTAAAGATGCAAGTCTTCATGGCTTTTCCCCCCAAATGAGAGTAGCTGAAGGTGGCTTCCCTAGAAAGCATGGCTCAGAAGACCTCAGTTGATATGTAGTAACAGTAGCAGAACTCACAGAAGCTCATATAAAGCTGAAACAAATCCCACTGATTTAGCACAAATGAGCTGGGCAGCTGTATTTCTGGAAACACCAAGCTTTAATAAAGAAACCATATGTAAAGTGAACTTAAAAAGGTAGCAGTTTTTCTTTTTGTCTTTCTTTACACTAATAAATTCTGCACCTTATAAGTAGAGAATTTGGAAGCTGGGAGAGTGTGTCCTAAATCCCTTGGAGAAAGTTTACTAGGCTAGACCACGGCACCAATATGACAGGTCCTGCCAGCAGCCCTGGGAATGTGTAACAGAGAAAGACCTGGGAATTGTATAGGAGGCACTTCAGAGAGTTGCGCAGTTGATAACCAAACACTGCCAATAAAAATGTGTGGGTTTTATATTGCAATTAAATCTTCAAGAGAATTTGTAAAAAGCTTAGGGGATTACTGAGTTGTTTTGATTGCCTCCCAAAAAGATCAGTATTTTCTATTCCAGCTCATTCAAATCTAGCTCACTATATTTTAGGAAAGGTTTTTACTAGAAAACTGGAGGCCCGGTGTATGAAATGTCATGCACTGGTGGTGGGTGGTTGGGGGGTCCTTCGGCCCAGCCTGCATCCTCTAGCAGTCCCCCCTCACTCCTCACCACAGCTGTGCTCACCAGCCATGAGCCCGGCTTCTGGCTGAGTGGCGCTTCTGCATTGAGTGTCTGCCCCCTGGTGGTCAGTGCTCACCATAATGACGGGTCATTCCACCGTTCGGTCGATTTGCATATTAGGATTTTATTATATAGGATAGTATTTTGTTTTTGTTAATGTTTTAGGATACATGCTTAAAAAGTGAGGATGATGGCCTAATGGCTCCTGTATCCCATATTACCCTTCCACTGACTCAGTCAACTTTGATTCTAGTTTGTAGTATTCCAGCTCAGCTCTGACAAGGCCATTCCAATAGCACCGGTCCAGTCTAAGGAGATAATCTAAGAGATAATATGTGAGAGGCCCTTCAAAAATACACCAAAACCTTGTCTTTAAAAAAAGATCATTTTCAACTTCTTTGTGTTCTTCATGGTTCCTCCATTAGAAAAGTACTAACTCTCTTTCTGTTGTGAGATTTTCCTTCTCCAAGGAAGAACAGAACATTAAGTTTAGCAGTGCTTCATCACTCAGCTCCCACCCTCTCCCCTGACCCCGTGCCATTGGGAAAGGGGGAACATGTGAGTCTCCACAGCCAGCCAGCCAGTCATGGGCTCCTTTGGGAGTAAATGATGTTTGTGCAGAAGAGATTTGCACATCCAGTGGACATAGTCCAGACCCCACCAGTTGTGGGCATTCTCCTAAGAGAGGGTTTTGGAATTTAGCTTGCTGGTTTGTGTGTGTGTGTGTGTGTGTGTGTGTGTGTGTGTGTGTCTGTGTTTTAAGAGCTTGATTTACAGAGCTCTCAGGGAAAGGAACAGTGAATTACTAGTCAACATCTTCTTAACTCCCATGCCAGCCTAGCAAATATAATTCAATTAAAAAAACATTGACACTGCAAATGTGTCTAGTTCGGTGCTAGTATGCAGATACATAATATATAGTTCCCTCATCTGCAGAGTTAACAATCTGGTGTGTGTTTGCATTTGAGGGATTACAATTTAGTCTTCTATTTAGAATAAAATAGAAAGCTAGTTCACATTGGGTTGCCTTTTCTATACTGAGTGTAGTGATGGAATATTTATATTTGCTGTCTGTTTTGCTGACTGTTCTGCTGAATGATAATAAACATTCAGTTCACCCCAGTACAACCTTATTGAACACTTTTTATTCTGGAATACAGTCAGTGGTTGTGGATTGTACTGCAACTCACTAGTCTATAATAGGATTAAACCTATGCCTGTGGTTATCATAGCAACAGGATCTGAGCCAAGCCAACACTGTTCAGATGTTTTTTGGACATTGGAAAGAAATTAAATCTTAATAATGCCTGCCTCGCTTCACTAGTTAGCTTTTTATAGGGCTAAGATCCTATGTGTGCCATTCTTGTTTCCCTATGAATGTTAAATAATGCACAGCCATGATATGGACACAGGATCAGCTTAAATCTGTGACTTACCTGAGGAAGAACATCCAATTACAAACTCATGTTCTATTGATGCTGGATTGATGCACATCTTATTCTCGTGTGAAGAACGCCATTTAATTAGAAGCCTCACGGGTAACAGCAGGATCCTGGTATAATGAAAAGATTCCAGATTCTAGCTCTAGCTCTGCTATTCATTAGATGTGTATCTTTGGGTCTCAATTTTCTTGTCATTTAAGTTGTAATAAAAATGTCTTCTCTGTCTACCTCCAAAAGATACTGTTACAATCCTTGAGAAAATGAGACATGATAATAAATTCTGATTTTTAAATATACATGACGTACATGTATACATAGATAATTACTGGAAGAGATTACATCTAAATGTTAAAAGTGGTTTCTTTGTGTAGTA